TTTTTCAGAGAATAGAAATTTGCATACCTGTTCTTTTAAAAGCTTCCGTTCAGCTTCAGTGTTGTATTTTAGCATTTAAAAAATATTATAAATCTATAAAGTATATAGAATGGCAACGCATTCTATTTGGTATTGTGGTAATTTCATCAAAAGTAACAGTAATTAAGCTTCCCAGTTAAATCTGTCTTCTTGAGTGAGGTTTAAATGCAGACAGTTGCTTTACATTTGAGTTTTTGTGGACAGAGTTCAGGAAAAATATTCAGAAACTTCTGTGTTTTTCTAGTTATTATTGCTTCTGAATCTCATCACATTTTTTTTTTCTAGCACTTTTTTGTTTTCAAAACTTGGGTGATGGTTAGCTAATTAGTGCTTTAACAATAGTTCATATATAATCAAGTTGATTGTTGTTAATGATTTCAGATAGACTGTCAAAACCCTTTTTCATGTAATTTGCTTTTCACAAAGAAGCACAAATTTTACAGGCCAGAGCTGTCAACTAGCTATTGTATCCAAGATCAGCAAACCTTAGAGGAGTTGGAAAAATGTCTTTTGTGGTATTCCATCTTTATTTATTGTTATAAACGATTTGCACCATTTTAATTTTAATTCAATTGATTTTTTTTTTCTGCTTGGTTTTGGGTTTTTTAATGCACATCTAGAAGTAGGTGCCAAAAATTGTCAGGTGATTAAAAAGTGTGCATTTCTAAGTTCATTAACTTGTGTGATCAATCTCTTCAGTCTCACATTTAAAGTTTTAACATTGGTAAAACAGTAACTATTCTGATGAAGTATTATGTGAGACCATTTTACTTTTGTGAATACCTAGAAAATTCAAGACATCTGGAATCTAATGCAATGTTTCTCTTTCTGTTTTTCCTACCATTTCCATCAATAATGCACAATTATCCTCCACTTTAGTTCTGGTTCATACAAGTGGGTTTTTTTTTGTTTTTTTTGTTTTTTAACCCACTTGCAAAGAATTTGATCAGAAGCAACTGCTTTGTTGGAGTGGGAACAGTTGGTCATCTTTGTCTGGAGATGGCATTAGAGCTTGCACAGCGTTACAGAGTGGTAGCATACGTTGGGCTGCCATTTCACCTCACATATAATGTAACACACTACACATTCTTTATAATGAGAACAATTTTAGGATTCAGTAACAATCATCTTGGCAACACATTTATTTCACACTGAGATCACTAAAACCATGTGTTGACATGGTTTGCTTTCTTACGAACCTCTGACTCCCATGGCATTCAGAGTGAATTGAATGCAAATAAATCTCAAGTTTTTACAGCTTTCTAAAATATCTGCTTATATTGTAATATTTAGTGAAAACCAGTTAAAAATTAACTAAATTCCTAGTCAGCAGTTTCTTTGAGGATAGTATTATAATTTCTTAAATTTCTTAAATGGACAGTTATGCCTAGTTTGATTTGTGACAGAGCAATACTCTGCATATTTTTAGCAGATTTAATACAATGAAATAAACTTGCCATTTCAATATACTTAATATCTTTTAGCACATTATTTAAAATTAAGTCCTTTGAACTCAAATATCTTTAATAGACTTAGTACTGAAGCAAGTACTAAGTACTAATATATGGAAATATTTTGCAGCATGAATATTGACTGTTATTATACTAGTAACTTCCATATATTTCAAGTTACATACCTAGAATATGTCAGGCAAGATGTGTTCAATACACTGGATTTTTAGTCAAAGTAGATTTGATGTCTTGTAGGGATCCTTTTGCTCTCAGCAAGATATTATCATAAATAGAATTTTAGAAAGTATATGAGGTGTGCAAGAATATTGCTGTTTTTATATTGCTGTTGTGGTTCTTCATGCAGCCTTTTTTTTCCTCTGTTCTTTATGGAGCATTAAGTATGATGGAGTTTGTCTCTATCATTCAAAAAAAAAAAAATAAAATGCAGTCCATGTATATTTTGACTTTCTCCACCCTTAGGCTTATTCTTCCATATCCAACATGTGCAGCTTGAATGCTGGCAGGATGTTCTGTGTTTTTGGGTTTCCTTGTGTCTTGGCTTGTCACAGCTAGAAACTGAATGATAGCCTTCCACTTGACTGGGACAAAGCATTTCCACTGCTTAGAGAGAATTTGAGAAATTGGGCTGTGTTTCTTTGGAAAGCAGAAGGAATTTACAGGTCATCCGTAAATTGCATTTTTTTTGTGGGCTTGTCACTTAAAACATTATTGTGAAATGCTGAAACAGGTTAATCACATAGGTTGTGAGACCTCCAGTCTTTGAGATGCTGAAAATGAGCCTAGACAAGCTGGTTCAAGGGAACCTGAGCAGGACCAGACAGAATCATAGAATTGTTTAGTTTGAAAAATGCCCCTAAGGTCATAAGAGTCTATCCATTAACCCAGCACTCTCAAGTCCTCCGCTAAACCATGTCTCAACTGCCACATAAACACATTTTTAAATACCTCCAAGGATGGTGACTCAAAGTCTTCCTAGGGTAGCCTGTGTCCAAGTGCTTTAGAACCCTTTTCAGGGAGAAACTTTACCTAATAACCAATCTAAACCCCTCCCCTAGTGCAACTTAAGCCTCTTCTTGTCCTTGTTTGTTACCTGGGAGAAGAGACTGACCCTCACCTGGTTAAAACCTCCTTTCAGGCAGTTTCAGAGAGGGATAAGGTCCCCTCTGAGCTACCGTTTCCCCAGGCTAAACACCCTCAGCTCTTTAAGCTGCTCCTCATAAGACTTGTGCTCCAGAGCCTTTCCCAGGGCTGCTGTACATCCTTGGATATGTTTCAGTACAATTCTGTTTGTTTCTGCATTTGCAGGGTGTAAGGAAAAAAGACAGAAGTTGAAGACAGTGTGAAACTTGGAAAAAACAGAAGTGTTACAGATAAATTTATGTTTTAAGACTGGCAAAAGTTTGCTAGCTGATTACTTTTATCATTAGTGTGTGTGATGTTATAGCCCTGTGAAGGTGTTAAAAAACTCTGAATGGTTATATCATGGTCTTCTTTCTTGTAAGACATTGCCTTACACTAATTTCCGCATGTTCACACCTAGTTTGCTTTGTCAAAAGAATGCAGACCTGAACTGTTTCTGCCAGTGTCCACCTCCTTCACCTTAAGGCTTGCACCAACAGTAAGCTTGGTCTGGCCACTGTTTTGAAAGATGAACTTCTTTAAGCTTCCTCTTGGATTTTGCATGCCAAAATCCCCAACAACCCGTTCTCCTGCCTTGTCATTGTCAGTCAATGGCTATAGGTGGCCTCATCCCCACCATGCAGTTTGTGCAGGAAGCTGTGTTTTTAGTGCTAATCTTCTTAGTGAAGGGTGGTCCACCAGGACATCTGTGATGTTGTGTTTGCTATTGCTGTGATTTTTCCTTGTTTCTGAATGGTTGTGACATCTAGCATTAATGAGTTGAGTGCAAGTGTACTAAGAGAAATCTCTTACTAGTAGATGTGAAAAGAAAGTCACACACACCAGTGGTTTTCAAAAGAAGCAAAAGCAGCTTAGCTGTATTGACAGAATGCTCAATTTGGTTGAAACATCCCTAAAAACGTTGGTGAAAGAAGCCAATTTTGTGAAATACAAAAGGTTGTATGAGGTTCAGTTCATCTCTCAGAGAAGAAAGGTTCAAAAGGGAAATCACAGTGGAGCACTGTCCTGCATCCTTGTGGGTGTAAATTAAGCAATAGATTTTGCAGCCCAATGCTCTGGAGTGCACACATTCATTTACAGGTGTGTGGGGAGAACGTAAGGTAATTAAAGCATCTTTTATTAAGCTATTTTCTGCAGAAAAGTATTTAGGATAGACTAAACCCCACTTAATCTGTCTCTAGGGAAGGCTGAGGAATTAATCCCAAGAGATGTCTTTGATGTCACATTTATTGAGATTTAGCTGTCTTAAGGTAGTGGTAGTGGGAACCCAGCAAGTCATGCAATTATGGAAGCACTGAGATGCTTTTTTTTAAAAATCACTGTTTAGACAGATGATCAGTTACTTCAAACTACTTTTATTTATAATCTTTCTAAATGTGGTTGTTTTGTTGATTTTTGTTTTTTTCACACAGGTTGCTAACTACTCCTTAACATAGATCTTTAAATGTCAGGGTACGTTTTTAATTAGAACCAGATATTAAAACCATGTTTTTACAGTTGAAATTGAAACCACCTTCACTGTTTGCTATGGAAATGAGTTTTTAAAACAAATCTGTTCATGTGTTTGCTGATGTGCCAATCTGTGAATTTATGTAACTTGCCAATTTTTTCATGCCTTTTTCCAACCATCTTGTAGAAAGGTGGGTGGTACAGAGCATATTACAGTCTGTATTAAGCCAGTAGCCTATATCTGTATCAGAAGTATGTGCCAGTTGTCTCACTGGATTAAAGAAAGGATGGGGCAACTAACACAGAAAGATATTCAACCTAATTAAGGATTTCCCCAAATTTGTGTTCCCTGGGATTTGCACATGACACTATTGTGTTTTGTAATCCCACCATTACTGAGAGTTAAGAGTGGCTCAGGTGCTTTTAGGAAAAGTGCTGCATCATACTGTTTTTTCGTATTCATTTGTATATTTAAGTGTGTATTATTAAACAGCAATTTTTAAAGTAAGTTTCATGAGTTGTGAAATACCATATAGCTGTTTTTTCCATAGTACCCCACTTTTACCTCACAACTTCTGGAGGACACTTGTCTGAGGCTGAGCATCTCTGACCTGCTCAGTGAGTCTTCTGGAACAGCTGTGTTGTTGCCTGAGGGATCATGTACTGCTTAAATGGTTACTTAGGCTGACCAAAATCCTCAATACATTTCACCTTGCAGTAAACACTGGCCTAAACTCTGCTAAAGTTGTTCTAAAGGAGTTACTGGAGTAATTCAGTTGTAAAATAGGTGCCAGAAGGTAGCAGATAATATAAAAAAAAGTTACAAAAGTTGAGACAAATTGTCAAAAGTTTTGATGTCTGTTTTTAGTAATGAATTTGTCTGTTTGTTTGTTGATGCAGGCCACAGAAACATTGTTCCGAATGGCGGTTGCAAGAGGAGTTATCACACCTTTAAGACATGGAGAAGTAAGGCTAAATATATCTGTATTTTTTTGTTTCTTATTTATGTGTAATATAATGCTTTATTAACATAGTACTTTATAAATTCCTGGAAGTGATGCTGTCTTCAGGTAAGTGAAGAGAGCTGGCCTATATATAACTTGCATACCTATATTCCAGTATTCAGGAACTTAAATACTGCCCAGTCAGAAATGAAATATTTTTCAAAGAACGCTCTATTCTTCTCTTTGCTTCAATCATTTCTTAGCTGTATGATAGAAGTGGCTCAAGAGAGTCTTTCAGCTGCTTTGCCGAGGGGTGAGATCCAGTTTTTGGACTGAATTTTCTCTATTAAAGATTGTCAAATCTCAAGAAATTTGCAGGAGGTCAATATTTGTTACTGGGTAGCTGTGTAAAGGTTGCTTCATCCTTTGTTCCTTTCAAGAAATAGTAACTTCATGTGATATACAAAGTACTAATACATTAGTTATTCCAAAGAGAATAAAAGTTTTTGAATATTATGTTGTTCATACATGCTTCTGTTTGTGGTAAACATTTTTTTTTCCTTCTTTGTATGGTTTTATAACTGGTAAACATGGTTTTGAACGTTGATGATTAAATATCTCCAATCTAAGTTAGTGCCATTTATACTTAGGTTGAATTTAATTTAAAAACTAAAATACTATAGTCAGTCATGACATTGGGAATGAGGAATGATCTGGGCATTGCCACAGCTGGATGCTACAGTGTGTGTGGTTTTTCAGTGTTAGAAACCTCGGTATTTTTTCATGGTAATATTATTTTGATCAAATTCCGAATAAGTTTGTGAAAAGTTCTTAACAGAGGCACAGCGTTCAGTCTGGAATCTTGATCTGTGCTATTAGTAATTTCTGAATCATGTTCGGTTGAGCCAGTTTACCTCACTGATAAAGGAGAAAAAATTTTACTTTTTTCTTCAGATATTCCTTCTGATCATTTATCAGTTAAACCACCTCAAAGGCTAGAGAGAACCAGAGGAGAAGCAGCAGCATAAGCGGTGAGACGATGTAACAATGGTTAGCAAGAAAGGAAGTGCGAGAAAGTGAACTTCTTGATGGTGTATGGAGTACTTTTTCTGAGGTATTCCTGGGCCCTCAGTGGTAATGCAGTTAAGCTAGATAATTTATAGATAAAACATGTATTAATGGTCCAGAATTGGCTTTTTTGCGTAAGAAGGCAATGGGAAAAACAAGAAAATACCTTTCTTCCCTCTTGTATTTTTATTATTTATGCAGCAGAAAATGTTTTTGCTCAAGGGAGATATTTTCATTAAGTTTTAATTAAATTAATTTATTTAATCTGAAAATGAGAAATTCCATTATTCAAATGAAACTAATTTTTCCAGAAGCAACATGCAATTATCAAGTTGTACTAAATTTTTTTTTTTGCTCTTCCAAGAAATTTATGGATATTTGCAGAGTGCATAAGTAGATAGTAGATAGGGAGACAGAAAAAAAATTGAATATGAACAGGAGTTGACTGTATTCTAGTTGATGAGTGTGAATTTGGCAGTGAAAATCAAAACAGAGAAACTTTTTAAGTGGAAATTTCAAAATACGACTGCAGCAGTCCAAATGAACAAGAGTGTTGTTCAACTTCCACATCAGAATTTAAAAATGTAATGCCATTTAAAATTTGCGAGAGGATAAAACTGTTCACTGTTAGAAGGCAAAAGTCGTATCTGTTTGTTTTAAATTAATAAAAAAAGACATTATTCTGTCTGTACCACAGAACAAATTAATATGTAAACATTTCTTCGACAGAACAGGATGCATGAAAAGCTACCCATTTGATCCATTTGTCTTCAAGGGGATTTATAAGTGATAATATTGAATGTCCACTGGTGCAGTCTCTTTTATTACTCCTTTCAACAGTTTCTCATTTATTTAACCTAATGAAGCCTTTATGCATATAGGATTTTTATGTTTCTCATTTATTATCTTCTAAGAAATTGAAAAATGAGCTTGTACAGGTTTGGTCTTTCTACTTTTGCAATTGGTTTGTAAAATCACTCTTGAGAGTTTAGATAATTATGCTGTCAAAACAAATTATCAAAATTGGGTGCATAGTGCCAAGTATTATTTAACTGTGGAATATTAATCATAGCGGTTCCTGAAGAATCTTCTCAGCAGTTCTCTTGCTCCTGGGTGGGTTTAAGTGTAGTAGCACTTGTGGGAGGGAATCAAACCCAGAAGCGTAATTCATTCTCAGGATTCAATATGTTGTTGTTTATGTTACTTAGTTGTTCCTGTCAGTTATTTTGTTGTGGGGGTGGAGCATGAGGTAGAGTCTTATTCATTTCTGTTGCCACTTCTAGCTGGTTCCCAAATAATCCAAAAATTGTGTGATTTCACCAAATCCCATGGCTGTGCTTCTGTCCAGAAATCTTAATATGCATTTCATTAATGACACAAGGCTGAGAGCTGGTGGTTGGCACAGCTGAGAACTGTGCATTTGGGGAGCCCAGACCTGGCACCACCTAGAGAGCATCTTCAGCTCTTTCTTCTGCTTCTGGTCTTCATGCAAGGGGCTCAGATCTGCTGCCATTAATTCTTCCAGACAGGTCTGCTGTCTCTGTGGGTGTGGGTTCTGGAGCAGCAGTGCTGTGGTTGAGGAAACAAGAGCAGCAACAGCCTGCTTGCTGAAATGAGTGAGAAGAGGAATACAAGGAGTCTCCTGCTTCAGAACTGACTACACTTTCTGGTTCTTCATTTCCTGGAGCCCCCAAGGGAGAGCTGTAAGAAAGGGAGTAAGGGTTGGCAGCAGCAGGCTGTGAGGAGTTGCTAAGTGCCTGGCAGCAGGATGGGATACATTTGGCACAAGCTAAGATCAGTTCAGTGACTGTACACAGAGAGAGAGAGAGAGAGAACTTCCAAAATTTTACTGGAAATGACCAATTTTATTCACATTGCACTAGTGATGTACCAGAATGAGTGTGTCACGTAGGATGTGTATATCCTGTGGAGATACTGAACAAGAAGGAGAGATCTGGTTAGGACAATGAGCTCACAGGGCTGATGTTCTCAGTCCCCTGTAGATGAGGGAAATGAATCCACATAGAGAAGCAGCAGGGGGATAAACTGAGAAGCTCGAACCCTTAAATGGAAAAAATGTTTGAAATACATAAGCTGACACAGCCAGCAGATCTAATGGTAGAGTTATGATTCCCAGAGAGCCACAACTGATACCAGCCTCTCATGGTCTCTGTGGCTGTTAGCATAAAAATGTAAGTTTTTCTAGCCTAAAATGGTTTACTGCCTTGCAGTGTAATACATGGAACTGTATGCATTGCTGTGTCATGCATGATATACCATGCTTGAAAGTGAATTGTGTTGGAAGAAGACAAGTCTTTGTTTTTGTTTAAGTCTATTTTTAAGAGATTTCACCATTCTGTGTGTTTTCTGAAAATTCAGTAATGTGAAGTGCCCAGATACCTGTTAAAAGTAATTTCTGTGGATTTGTGTTCTTAGTTAATACCAATGATGCATTTGAGGTACCAGATTTAGCTAAACATTGAGCAAGTGGATCAGTAAGGATCTTCAAAATGTGGTTTCTTTGATATTTTTATGAGTGAATATGTAACAGTGGGAACAGCAATATGAAACACTCCTTTGTGCAGCACTACTTTTTGTTCTACAGATGTACTGAAAGAACCTTGGAAAGGAGAGTACATAGTAGACATTATTGCCAGCTCAGGTTTTCCTTGCTCTCTTCCTTCTCAGTCCACTATGCCATAGCAAGTCCAGCGTAGGCTCCTGGAAACTCGCCTGTGGAATTATAGTCATATGGACACGAAACTTTTGTATTATTAACAGTAACTGTAATTACTTTCTTCATGAGGAGGAGCTTTTTAATTTTACTTGTCAATGGAGCAATGCAAAACAGATATTATGACACCTGTCATCATATTTAGTTGTGTAATGAGAAGATGACATGGAACTAAGTATTCATTAAATGGTAATCACTTTTGTTTATAAAGGGGTTCTAGGATTGTTAGTCTCTTGGATCTTATCCTCTGGGGTTTTCCTGTCCTGGTTAAGGATTGCTGGCACACAGAAAAGGTGTATTTTTAAAATTTAGTATGTTGCAAAAAAGTGTAAATTTAATTTACCCAAATCATATTTCTGAATGTCATGCAAGATGCAAGGTGCCAGTAGGTTTCAGTGTTAATTTCTCTTATTTACCTACTTTTATTTAAAAGGTATTTGCAAAATTAAGAGGAAGGAGCTGGTTGCAGGCAGGTTGGAGTGCCTTTTCATCTAAAGTGAGGTCCCTTCTCTCTGTCCTAAGAAAATCTGAATTATTTTATAATTTTTAGCTTTTTCAAAAGAAATGTTTCAAAGAAAATAAAATTAAAAAGGTATCCTATGAGTGTTCTGAACCACCACTTAACAACTCAAATTATTGGCATACCTAGTTATACCTTTCTCATTAGTGGAATCTATTTTGGAAGTAGTACGGAGCCTGTCTTTTATAACTTCCTGTAAAGAATAAGCAAATGGATAAAATGTATCCACAAGAATAGAACTGCTTTATGGTCCTTTGGCTTAAGGTTTTGGTTTGGGGCATATGTGTCAGAAGTATTTTAAAATAGTACTGGGATCTGGAAAATCCTTCTGGCAGGTCACAATGGGTAACAGTTCAAAGGTAATTTAATTGCCAAAGGCTGGCACACCTTATCTGTGTTATCTGGAAGTAAGTCAAAAGTAAATAATTCTTCTGATTAAATGCAGTGAAAACTAAAGCTTGATTGGAGAGAGAGAGAGGTTGAGAATTGAACCCTGTGGAGGGAAACCAGCAGATTGCCTTTGAGCTGTTTCAGTGTACAGTGTTTGAGCGCTGTTTTTGCCATGTATGCTGTTGTGTGAAGGTGCTATTGGTCTAGCTTGCCCTGGGTTATCCATTTTAAGTGGTATATGGGTTTTTAATTAATTTTTAATCATGAAGAGGAAGGAGAATTTGTCTCAAAACCATAGTTGAATATGAAG